CTCCCAGGCCTCAAATTGACTGGCGGGATTGATTTGGCAACACCTTCCTCCCGTCCCTCTCATTTCCTCTCCCCGGGGAACGACCAAAAAAAGTAAACAAGAACTTTTTTTTGATGTTATTTTTTTCTTTTTTCAGAGTCGATTTGAATAAAACGGAGGAAGAGCGCGTTATCCAGGAATAGGGATGATGATGATGATGATGATGATGGATGTGATAGCAAGGCCTTATTTATCGCTGGCTGTGGAGGAAAGTCAACTATTTGTCAGTTTGGAGGCAGAAATTATGCAAAAGACGGCCGAGGGCCCAGCGAAAGTCAAAGCAGGACTTGAAAGGCGGGCAGGAGGCTACAGTACAAAGAAAGCTTGGATCCCCACATTGGATTTTTTTCCCCCCCCATCCGCGCGCTCTCCCCTCTATTTGTCCTCCCATTGTGACACTTGGCTCATTTGCGAGAGCGCCTCTTTGAGATGCAGAGATCGATGAGGCAAACAGAAGCAGAGCCCCTCCGGAAAGACAAGGAGGAACACGCGCGGTGGGCGAGGGGCTCCATGTTCCAAACAGAGCCGACGTGACCACAATGAGGCGCTCTCTTTCTGTAAATGTAAAATTTCGGATGCGTTTCCCGCAACGCACCTTCCCCAGTCACTTGCGCCGACTCCCAAACTTTTCTTCTCCCCATCGCAGCCATGATTGACTTTCCGTCTCCATCCGTGACGCCGATACGACTCTCGACTTGAAATTGATTGGAAACTGGCTAGTATTACATTTTTTATTTCCAGGGGGGTGGGGGGGGGAGTCCTTCATTCATCCATCAACTTGAAAATGCACACACGTAATTGAGGTCGATGACAAAAGGCATGGCTGACGTTTGCGCCTGCGCACGTAATTCCAAGGTTGCCTTTGAATGAGCAAAAATGCGGATCTTACGTCATCCGCTGCACCCGAATGTCTTTCAGCCGCGTGTCCGGACGGACGACTTGAAAGTCCTTCCGTTCCTCCTGATCTCGTCCTCCCTGCCGCTTTCTCTCAATGATGACGATTTATTCTTTTTTGCGTTTTTTTTTTTTTTTTCTCCAACAGTGCAGTTCAACTTGATTCCTGTGGGCCTCCGCATCGTGGCGATCCAGAGCACTAAGACGGGGCTCTACGTGGCCATGAACAGCGAGGGCTACCTCTACACTTCGGTACGGACCTCTAATGGATCAGCGCAGTGAGCAAACCAGATCTCGCATTGGATCTCACTCCATTGCTCCTCATTGAGTGGTCACGAGTAAATAAATGGAGCTTTTCTCTCATTGCGCTCTTGAAATTAGCCTTTGAGCATACACCACCCGCCTCTGTCCAGTTCCAAGCTTTAAGCAGCCTCACGAGTGGCAGCGAATCACTCCTCTCTCCCCGCAAATAAGAACCAAAAAGTGCCATTGATAAGTCAAATTTTGAGGCCGCATTCTGTACAATTGTGATTTTTTTTACATTTTTACGATATTCAGTTTTGCACAGTTGAGAAACCCCACATTAGTGACCCACTTCTCTCAGGGAAAGCACCCCTGCGGAAAAAGTTTGAGAAAATCCCTGCGAGATGACAGGGAAAGGCGGGCAGCCGGATGTGTAGGGGGTGAGGAGGGGAGGGGGGGGGGGGTTGTTTCCCGTCCCAACCTTAAATAACCTGCTCTGCTCTTATTCTCTGCAAATGTAAGCCTCCAAATGAAAGATAGAGGGCAAAGCTGCAAGAAGGAAATTGAGGAGGGAGGATTTTTTTCTTTTTTTTTCACCTCAGGGAGGCGATGTAGCTAGAAATGTGCAAGTAGCGTGGTGTCCCTCGCCCCAGAATGAATCCAAAAGAGCCTCAGTGAGCGCTGGCTCTGCAATGCGGGAAGAGGAGTGATCGGTCCGGGCTGCAAAAGGGTGACCATCCGAGCAGTGCAACCTCATTAAGGGAAAGGTTACGCTGCTAAAACTTGCTGTGTCCTGCTGATCAACTGGCACACTCAATATCCTAACTACTGCAAGAAAGTGGAGAGACGCTGGTGTCCTTTTTAGTGAGGAAGAAGAAAAAAAATGATTGCAACCAATATACACAAGGCGATGAAAAAAAAATATCTATATATAAAGAAAAACATGCACATGTAAATAAGTTGTTGGGTTGAAGTTTACTGTCAAACTAAACATAAAACAAAGAGGATTAAACATTGTGTATAACACCGAACCCCAAAACTTTGCCTTACAAAAGTCCGCGAGCTTAATGCAACACATAATGGACAAATCCAAAAATGAGCTAACGAACAGCATTTAGATGACGATATTAAGTGACAGATATTTGAATACGTAAAGTGCAGCACCACTTATAGACAGACAACCGGACATTATTTACGAGCATATGTAATTGGTCTTCTGCGAAATTACTTCCAGGATTCTTCCTAATTTATTGAGGCGTAACCCAAACCTATGAGACCAAAACAATTTATCATACATCTGATATTGTTGATTGGAATACGGATGAACCCTTTCAGGGACAGCAGTTACTACAGTGCACAAGTTCTCATGTTATCAGGTTACAGGGTGCATAAAAAGGGTTCATTTATCACTCGTGTTCACAAAAAATAAAATAAAAATAAGAATCATAATGAGGGGAAGATGGGATCTTGAAAAAATAGTCACATGATGAATCGCAGTCACAATATTGAGGGGGGAAAAATAATTTGGTTATTTTTCAAAATCGTTCAACCTCCATTTTGAAGACAATATTAAAAGCGGATCATTCAAAACACGAAGGGTTCTTGCTCCAACGGGATGAAATAACCTTTGTTAGGAAAAATGAAAAATAAATAGCGCTCAGCTGAGGACATTGTGGCCCATTTTCTTAAACGTGGGGTGTGGAAAATCCTCCTGGGAAGAGACAAGAGGGAAATGATGTGTGGCTGCTCTGTTGCGAGTGTGCACGCGTGTGTACTGATATGTGTGTGTGTCTTTATTATACAGTTTAACACAGCATGACCGCCCACCCTCCTATGTCCCACACACACACACACACACACACACACACACACACACACACACACACACACACACACACACACACACACACACACACACTTTCTCGCCTGGTCAATTTGGCTTCCCACCACATGCCCTCAGCAAAGCTACATGTGCAGTCAGGTATAAACACAGAAAGGAAGGCAGACGTAATTGGGCCGGACCGGTATCGGGGCCTCCACTATCCTCCCCATAGGGAGAAAAAGTTGTTAAACTCCAAACTCTGACAACGATGAACACAGCTTTGACCCTTGGGACCTAACATTGAGGAGGAGGGTATAGAAGCACAGATCGATGCTAAACTATTCATAAACTTTATATATATATACCTCCTCCTCACTGACCTTCCTCTCCATCCCTGCCATCAAATCACAAACAGCGAGTCTCTTTTTCCTTTGAGTCAGCACCCTTTGTTCTGCTCTCCTTTCTTTCACTTTTACTCTCTTCAAGAAAAAACCCTAATGTTGGGCGGGGGGGTGTGGAGGGGGGCAGATATGATATCGCTGAGAGCTGGCTGGCAGGTACCCCTGTCGGGGTCCTGTGCCGTCCTCCGCGTCCAACACCTTCATCAAGACTATTGCGCTCAAGTAAAAATGTTGATAAGCTCATGCAGGAAGGAGTCAAGAAAAAAAAAATAAGAGCAGAAAACAAGTTGAATTTTGTATTAAGCTAATAAGTAAAGTCACTCCACAAACACACGCTGGCCCCCAGACCACAGAGACCACCCGCTAGGCACACTGTCTCACCACTAACGTGTGTCCTCTCAAGTGGCGGACACATGGAACCGACAGGAAGGAGATGAGAGGCGACGTGACGGATTGAGCAAAGGTGGCGAGGGGCAGAAAGCGGCCCAATATTTCGTGTACCCTTTGGAAAATCCCCAAATGCTCGACGAGGTTCTGGTCGTCAAGGTGAGAATCAGAGGACACCACCCCCCGGTGCCTCTTGGCCACCGTGCACCTGACCAGTTGTTTTCATGATGACACACCCCAGCGTGCACATAGTACGCATGCGCCTGATTGACGCCGGGAAATCCATTCGTCCTCTTGCACCTGGTCAAGAAACGTCTGTGACTTCCAATTGAAGTTCCTCACATTTTCCTGTTTTTTTTTTCTCGCCTAATGCTTATTGACTTTTCGCAGAGGTCTTACATCGAATCCATTTCCCAGCGGAGCGCGCGGGAGTCCTCACGCGAAATTATTTTGTCTCCCTTCTTTTTCTCGCCATCCCCCCCTCGCGTCGTTGCGAGTGAGCGACCCCAGGTCGCATGGCTGCCTCACGAGCGGAGTTGTGTAACGACGTGCGCGTTCTCTCACCGGCGCAAGTTGAGGGGGGGGGCGCCTCAGCAAACATCTGCATGCTTTGCTGCAGTCAGTTGCACAGAAACAAGCTGAAGCGGATTGAAAATGGCTGCGTGTTTAGAGCACCCTCTACTGAAGAGTCAAGGAATTGCAGCAAGTTCAGGGTGTCTTCATTTCGTTCGGGCGACGCTCAAGGTGACGAAGGGTGACCAACAGACCCTTGAAATGATGAGAATCGGCGTGACGGCTCGTCAGGGTAAAAGCTCGGCAGACAGCTGCGCGTCTGTCCCCCCCGTGCGCGTGCCTCGTGAATAATGCAACGCCTTAAATGAGTGCGTTGTCACACAAAGTAGCACAACTGACGGCACCCTGGGGTGGGGTCGGTGGGCTGGGCTGTGATGAATCTCTACGCCTGTTTGCTCGTCTAAGGCCCAGGTGTTCGCAAAAGGGCATGGACATTTTTTATTTGTGACTGTCCAAAGCTGGATATTCCGCCGAGGCTTCAGGAAAAGCTCCAGCATCAGTCGTCCATCTGAAGGAATGCGAGTGAGCGAGAGAGAAAAGAGAGAGAGAGCAAAGTCCTTATTCAGGCGTTTTCTGCTCACCCGTCACATCAAGGCTCCAAATCAATCCTGCAAATTGGTTTGTTCCCTGACAAGGTTGCAACATGACAGAGGGATGCGAAGGGGCAGGGTGTGGTGGGGGGGGGGCGTATGGCGTGAACAGGGAGAGGCGGAATGTGGCGTGGAGAGGGAAAAACGTGGGAGCTGCAGGAGGGCCGCGGGGGGGGGGGGGGGGGGGGGGGGGGGGGGGGTCAGTCCATTGTTGTTTGTTACAGCCAGGTAAAGCGCTGTATAAATAATGGCATCCCGCTATCGCGATCCCATTCTCATGAAATGTGGGCTCCGTTTTCCCCACATTCCCATATCCCAAGTGTGCTCTTCTCCCACCTCTCATCTTTGCGTGTGTGTCTTTCAGGAGCACTTCACGCCAGAATGCAAGTTCAAAGAGTGCGTGTTTGAGAACTACTACGTCACCTACTCGTCCATCCTGTATAGACAGACGCAGTCGGGCCGGGCCTGGTACATCGGCATCAACCGGGACGGCCAGGTCATGAAGGGAAATCGCGTCAAGAAGACGAAGGGCGCCGCACATTTTCTACCCAAACTCATTGAAGGTAGATCAATGGCAGCAAGCTCGCCGTATCGATTCTGCATTTGGTATCGAGCCCTTCAGTGGGGACGAATCTACCGCTTCATACCGCCGCTCACATGTCATTTATTAGAGGACTCATCAACACGATACAAAAAAAGCAGCTGTTTTCCATTTCAATAAAATGCACCACACCCACCAGAGATGCTGATTAGTGTGCGCTGATAGTGAAAGATGTGTTTTAGTGAGCAAACGAACTTGGCTAAAATAAGTTTTGCTTTATCCAACAACCAAACAGAGGACGGAAAAATGCTGATGTCATTGAACGGTCGCTTTTGCTAAAATAGTTTGGGCATCACTCTTATTGGAGTGAACAAACACTAACAAAATAAGTGCAACGAAAATTACAAAAAAAAAATATATATATATATTTTTGTAAACAAAATGAAATAAAACAAGTTCAATTCTTAAAAACAATAAATAACCACAACTAAAATTCACATTTGTGAAACTAACTGCAATAACTATAATTACGTCAAAAACATCCTTCGTTTTCATCTTTGTTAAAAATTTCGTACATGAACGATCGTGGTTTATTTTAAATATATTTATTTTGGTATAATGGCCATACCAAAGAAGCAAGGTTGAACCGTTGTTTGGGAATTGTAGTTTACTTTATTGCACAATGCTTAGTAAACGTTTTTTTTCCCCATTTGCACTCCACAAATATTCCATATCCGACCCCCCAAAAAAACCTAAAACTAATACTAAAGCTACACAAAAACAAGGCTTTTTATCAAAATAAATAATAAAATAAAAACTACAAACCCACTGTAAGTACGAATTAAAACTGAAAAAAGTCGAAATTAAATATAAACTAATGATTTTTTTTTTTAATCCAAAACTATTATAATCCTGATGGGTATGCACGACTAATTCCTAAAAGGGCAAATTAGATTGACAGAACAACACTCGGAGGCTGACATCTGACATAAAGATCAAGCATCCACTTAAGTATATTGGAAGCATAGAAACCAAGAGAAAAGTGAAGAAAAGAATAAAATTCACTGTTGGGAATAAATGAATTCAATTTCAGTCTAATTCAAATGAATTGTTGAAATGTTTTTCTTATTCCCGATATACAGTGGCCATGTACAGGGAGCCGTCCCTCCATGACGTCGCTGAACAGAGTCCGCCTCGGAAAACGCCCAAGACTTCCAGTGACTCGCCTGTGCACCAGAACGGCAAGAAAGACCCTCAAAGCAAAACCAAAACCTTGTCGTCCTAGCGCTGTGAGAAACGGGGCCGGGATGAGGATGGACCCCTGGAGGACACCCGAACAGGGTTGGACACCGAAGAGAACATCCTCCGCATCTACCTTCACATCCTTACCTCTGTGCGAGTATAATTTGGGAAGCAATAACTCCATTAAGAGGTGTGGCCTTCTTGCCAAAAAGCACTGTGGGGTTGTTTTTCCCCAAAGTCGGTCCAGCAGCTGAGCAAAAAGTCTTCCTGGCATTTATCATAACGGGTGCAAAGGTGGAATGCTGATTTGATTTGACTGGTTCCATCAGCATCTTCCATTAATGTCAGCAACTTTTTAAGAAGCCCCGTGTGTGTGTGTGTGTGTGTGTGTGTGTGTGTGTGTGTGTGTGTGTGTGTGTGTGTGTGAGAGATCTTCCATTTACCACTGGTGTGATTTGATGAATTTGTGACTTGTACTAAATTTTTCACTCAACATTGCTCATGATGTTGATCACTACGTGTCAACCTTCCCACCTAAAAAACACTGACAAACACACACCAAATGAATATCCCCCCTAAATAATGGCCATCGATCCACTAATGTTGTGAAATTACAATAATACCAAAAATGATGTTGCTCTTTACACGAGTAAGCATCTTTTCTCACTTTTAAGCAAGGGAGAACTGAATATAAAGACCGTAAACTTTCAATTCAATGAACCCATTTAATGTTACCGTCATTGTTACATTTGTTCCAAGCCGGTAATTGTCGAAACGCCACTTTCGCACCCGGCGGAAACGTTTTAGACCTTAATTAAATCGCTAAAAAGATCTTCAGGTTGCCATGTTTGACCAATCATCCCCTATGGATCACGAAGTCCATTAAATGTTTGACTATTCTCCACAAAGTAATTACACAAATGTTTAATTAAACACCGCCGCTGCTCGAATAGAATTAAGACGATGGGCAGGATTTGCTCGGGTGGAGGTGCGGAAGATTTAACTGTGAAATAGAAAATAAAAAAATCTTGGGTAACTACTTCATTCTAAGGGCTGGGACGTTTCTAGGTTGCAATATTTATTTATTCATTTTTTTTAGATTTGTTTTCAGGGTTAACTCTAGAGGCAAGAAACTGCAAAGGACTGATGGCAGCGGTTGAGTTTTGAAATGGAGTATGCGTGGATTTGAGGCTTGAAAAGGCACGAGATGAGGTGGAACGTTTGAGGGAGGTCGCATTGTGGACGTTGTAGCTAAAACATGATCTCTTGGTTTTGATGCCGAAAAACAAATCCAGTACAGTGGTGCCTTCGGATACGAGTGACCGGACTTAAATAAAAGCAAAACAACAGAGGCTTTGAGCTGTTTCATGCCACACCCAATTGAAGTTTTTCCACATGAATTACACATGTACTTAAAACAACAACATAACACAAATCCGCTAGCTTAGGGCTAATGCTAACTTAGGGCTAATGCTAACTTAGGCCATGATTGGCTTATGAGGCTGAAGGAGTGGACAGTCCTATTGTATTCTTTATCCTCTGCAAAGAACTACATGAATCCCACTTGAGTTCTAGACAGGACATCCCCCATTGCAATCTGATTGGCTCCTGAATCCAGGCAAGAAAATCAAGTGCAATTGGCCTTCATACTCGTGCCAGGTGGCTAAGGTGGATGAATTTCCCTTTCCATCATTTCCACCCGTTACAACTGGGAAAGAGGAGTCGCAATTTCACAAAACGAATGAAACTTGTATCTCAAGGCACTGCCGTATCACAAATATCGCACACAAGGTTTGCATATCTGCCTCGAACATGAAAGCGTCGATATGGGCTACAATTGCGCAGCACTGTAATCTCCTCCCTGGGGAGTCCCTCACCTCCATGAGGTGCTGACCACCGCAGTGAGGGTCATCCCAGGCTGAGAGAGATGCTTCCACAGCCCTGTCACTAAAACTGGATGTGGCATCCATGGATACTGTATGAGGTGGACGTAATTTGTGTGTTTGAGAGAGTCGGTGGAGGAAGAATCAATGAGTGCGAGTGACTGGCCCAAAAAAAAAAAAAGGCAATAAACGCCATTAGCAAGGTGCAGCCACCACCATGTCTGACTTGGGGGGAGGAGATGTGTGTGTGTGTGGGTGGGTGTGTGTGTGTGTGTGTGTGTGTGTGTGTGTGTGTGTGCGTGTGTGTGTGTGTGTGTGTGTGTGTGTGGGTGTGGGGGGGGATTAATATTGATATTGCAAGCTCACGTGTACTGTACAGACTTTGATTCGTGTGTTCCCTTGAGTGCGGGTGTGTTTGTGTTACTTTGCGGTTGAGTCCCTAAGCCACATCTGCAATGCAGCAGAAAACACAAAAAAAAAGAAAAAGAGTTAGTGTGTGAGTGTTTTTATGTGTGTGTGTGTGTGTGTCTGGGGGGCGCTATGACAAAAGAGTGACGCTGTCCTTATTCTTTGACTTCCAGCCCCCATACGAAGCTTTACTATTATTGGAATGAGGATGATGATTCTGGTTTGGATTCATCATAGCGCGAAATGT